GGTAAGCCAAATATTTTTATCCTTGAAATCAGATCCCTATGCTATGAAAATACTATTCCCCCTTTTTTCAGTTTACTTCTTTGTTTTCACTTTTCTGAGGTTTTTTAACATCTCATTTTGTCGCGGTAGTGCGAGTCTTCAGAGTCAGGAAGCTACTGGAACTACAATCTAAACTGGTAAGCATCCTGCAGTTTTGATGTCATCATTAATCAAGTGAATTTCATTATTTCCTTCCTCAGTGTGGGAATCATTTTGGAATTTAATTGCGGAAATGCAACGGCACAATTTTCCCATAAACAGTTACCCTTCCAGTTGCCCTTGTCGCGCATCTCATTATGAAAGAAACAAAAAATGTGATGCAGAGTACAAAGATGGGACTGATTGTTTATTGTTTTCTTCTCAGGGAAGGCAGCCTTTCCTCCTTCACCTACTGTCACTATACAAAGTGTTTTGCCCTGAACTGGTGACACTCTCCATTCCATCACGGATGAAGGTTTGTACATAAAACATACTTGCTCTTGGAATACGACCATTCTCTTGAAAACAAAGCAAACATGGTGGTTTTCCTCTTTTGTTGCAGAGTGGGTTTAGGAACCACATTTCTCCCTGGAAATCAGCATTGATTGCTGTCCAGAAGAGGAACGGTTTGCAAGGTGCTTCCAGCATCAGTCTGGTCTTCACAAACAAGGATAAAACCAACCCAAGAAAAAGGGTATGCATCTTTTATTGGGTTTGTAGCCAACCGTCAGCTACTGCTGCTGCCCGACACTACCTTCCCAGCTTTTCATTTGTTGGAGGTTCACATTAGTGTGTACTTTATTTGTGCCAGCAAAAAAAATTGGCATATTTTCATTCAGATGTACACTGCAGATCATTTTCTTGATTACTTTGAAATGTTAGACCACAGTACGTTTTCTTGTGCTGCCTGATGCTTTTTTTCCTTCCATTCATTATCATTGTGTTTTGAACTGTTAGTCAAAGGAGATACATAATTATTTGTATTCAAGCAGTTTATCATGATTTTAACTCCTTTGCTTTTTACTTTCTGCTTCTTTCTTAGAAACACTGCCACCTGGAATTTCCTGCTTTGATTCCTGCACTGAACAAAGAAGCTCAGTCTGAGCAGTCCTCCAGCAGAAGGGTGGTCCCACTGGTGGAGCTCCACTCTTTTGCTCAGCTGTTGGAAAATATGCATCGTATAGAGGTAATTTCTCCTGTGATGAATCTCAGAGTTCTGCATCTGTCGAGTGCCGACACCGGGGAGGCATCTTGATCTTTCGCTGTGTTGCTTCCTCTTATCTAGTTCAATTTTACAGATCAGCTGTAAATCATTTCAGGCAACAGAATATAATGTATTCTAGTTGGTGCTTTTTTCTAGGATGCATGGCCACTGTAGTGTCCCAGTAAATCAGATGCAGCAGGAAAACGAGAATCCCTTCTTCCTAACTACCATGAAACACCAGCAGTGATGACAGCTGTCAAAGCAACACTGAGGTCTCAGGATGGACTAATAGTGAAGCAAAAGACAAATCTACGATCTAAACCAGCGGTCCCCAACCCCCGGGCCTCGGACCGGTACCGGTCCGTGAGTCGTTTAGTACCGGGCCGCGAGAGTTGAGGCTCAGGTGTGAAATGTATAGTTTTCATGGTTTCTATCGGTTTTCAGCTTTATTTTGTTATCGTTTTTATCGTTTACTCGGTTTTCCTGGGTCTTTTCACGTGTGTTATGAATAAATCTTTTTTTTCGGTACCGGTACTAGTTTTATTTTGTTGTATTTATCCGCGACACCTTAAAGGCCGGTCCATGAAAATATTGTCGGGCATAAACCGGTCCGTGGCGCAAAAAAGGTTGGAGACCGCTGATCTAAATTACTAACATGGAATTAAGAGAAAAGAGAATATATAATGAAAATTACTTTTTCACTTTTAGAACAAGTACACTGGCTACTTGAATGGATGGCAAGAACTTGTGGCTTAAACGGGTTTTATACTTTTTGTGTCTACTTGGGTCCCTGTCATGTAAATTTTGTCATTGAAGAGTGAGTGCAAGGAACTCATCTGTGGAAAACTGACATTATAACTCGTCAACTGTGCATGCGCCCAGGCAGCAAGTTTAAAGTGGACTTGGAAGACGTAAAACAGGAGAGAATACTCTGTCGTGAGGTCTCCAGCTGTCTGTCTGTGTCTTTAAACAGGCTTTTTCATGAGGAATATATATGTAAAGATGCAGCATCTCATGCTGAGCCCCCACAGCAGGTTCACAAGAAAGGCAAAAGAGAAAGAGAAGTCCTTTTAAGGGGTCTCATAACAGGCGTATAAGGTACAAAACAAAAATACCAACTTCCTCAGGTGACTACTTACATTACAGAAGTTTTTTTATGTATTAGGAATTTTCTTTTATGTTTAAATATGAAAACTGGGCATTGCCAGTTAAATTATGCGTGTAAATTGGCAAGAAATCCTGATCTTGGATCAAATCACATTTAAGTCACCAGTTCACCAGGCTTCGAGTGACTCAGTAAAAACTTTGGGCGCATAGATATCAAATTGGAAAGTTTGGATATGCTACTGAAGTGAGGATTTATAGTATTTATAGAATGTTATACAATTATAATGTACTTAATAATAAATTATTTACTTAAATATACACTTGAAGCTTCACCATTTGATTACATACACAAAATCCAACATTATTACTTTGATTAAACAGCAGAGAAAGTGGAGTAATATCTAAATGTGTATTTTGGGCATTTATTTTCACAAGTGGGAAAGAAGACATGTTATTGATGCAAAATGGCACAACACCTCAAGTCATAAGAATTTTTTTCCCTTTAGTAGCTGTGTTTAAATTGTGATGTATCCTCTGTGCCACAGGGTGGCGCTGTGTTACTGTTATGTTTGTATGAGTACGTTGTGCTTGGCCATTAAAAACTTTGACCCAGAGAAACCACAGCATAAGTGGCCTGTGGCTGTTTATTATATTAGAGCACAAACTGACTTCATGAGCAGAGTGCTCGTCATTTGTTTTTTAAACAGGCTGTTGCTTTTTTATTTTTACAGATATCATCAGCGTCTTATTTGTCCTTTATGAGTAATGAAAGCAAGGGATGTTAGTGGAGATGTATTTGAGTAATGCATTGGACAAAGTTGCAAAGCAAACGGTCGTTTAGAGAGGCCTCTCCATAAATGTCTATTTGCCCTGCAGATTCAGTGACCTGATAAACCAATGTAAGTCATTTTAAATGGATCGCAGGGTTTTATGCGTCATGCTACATAAATTCACCTCTTTCACTGCCCACAAAGCAAACGTGGACAATAAGGCTTGGAGGGCGTTGGTGCCAAATGTGTTTATGGCAGGGAGAGTGGTGCTTTGCCACGTGTTAGGAAAGACAGATGAGTACAATCAATTTCCCTCATAAAACTATTGAGCAACGGCATTGACAAAGGATCATTGATTATTTCCCTCACGGCCCTTTCTTGTTGTCAAAAGCAGAATGGTGCTTTCTCAGTTTAACGATACAGTTGCTCCGTAATTACCGAAGAGCTGAGTTGTGTCCATTTACAGTCTGTCGTTCTCTCTTTCTAATTCGTGTATTAAATTGACAAAGTCCCCATATTGAGAGGCAGCTGTTCAGCCACAATAAGGGACTGTATAAACTATCCAGTGTGGTGGAAGAAGTGTCCCAGTACTGCCGTTATGGGGATTACCAGATACCGAGGAACCGGCTTAAAATTCGGTTGGTGGCCAACCCTGTGACAAGGACACGATCATCTGTTGGTTCTTACTCTCGTCTTATTTATTTCAGCTTCTGTATTTGTTTATTGATTTTTGCTTCTGTGTACCTGTTTGTCTTTATGTGTCTTTCTGGTTATTTTAGTTTCTTAATCATAATTTTGCTTTATGTGTTTCCACCAGCTGCCTGCTCAGATGGGCTCGCTGCTGGGTTCCAGTCTGGCACTGCAGTACCTGGACTGTGTGCAGGATGAGTCTGCCCTCCTACGCCTCAATTTCTGGTTAGGCTACGCTTTTCACGAAGGTAAGTTGGGAACACACGCTACACACTACATAACTGCTGTGACGTGTTCTTTCTAGAAGTTCGAGGAAAAGCAGAGCTGACCTTGAGCTGAACCTCAACATAACTTAACTTTGTTGCCATGTTAAAGGGATTCTTTTACAGAAAGGTTTAAAGACATGTGAGAGTATGTCTCCGTGTGAAGATGCAGTGCATCTGAAATCTCCTGCTGTCCTCTTTGTAGTGCTCTGAATTTTTCACTCGGTAAATACCCTTTTTGACTGTTTTTTTTAAAGAGTTTTTATTCTGTGGCGATGGAGGACCCAGTCAGACTTCAGAAGAAGCTCTCCAGTTTTTGAACAAGTTGCTGTCTGCACAGCACTTTCTGCAGGTGAGCCCCCGATAGCGACGTCCACAGCTCACTAACATCGTCGTTATTTCTGATGCTCATTAACCTGGCGCCACACGCGTACCTGATACGTGCTGTGTACCAACGCTGAGCCAAAGATTTATTTCACATCATAATTTTCTCCAACAGGAGGGCTTTTCCAGTTCAGAGGTTTTCCTCTATAAATTTCTGAATGTTTGGGACGGCTCACTACTCCGTCCGCAGATCCTCGGCCTGCTGAGCAACATTCCGGTTGTTCCAAGTTCCCGTGAGTGTTACCTCCACAGATCGCTGCTTTCTACGACCGTCTTTCTTCACAGCTCAATTTTCTCTCCTTATGTCTGTCAACGAACACTTACATAACGCTGGTTTTCTCTCTGACCTTGTCGTGCACTTGAATAAAATCACAGTCATGTTCTCATCTTAGCAAGCTGTCATTTTGTCCTTGATGTAGGGAACTGTAACGCATTGAATTGTACGTCAGGTACAATAGTGACCTTTTGTCTCCCCCTTCAGAAATCAGAAGGCTTCTGTTTGAGCCTCTCATGCAGCTTTTCTTCACGTCCTCGCTGTTTTTCAAGGTAGGCTTTTCTTTCGCAGACACAAACAGATCAAACTTGCTCCCATTACTGTTCAAAGTTAATAGAAAGAAAATGCAGTAGTGAAAAACAGCACAACAAAGCCTTTGTGTAGTTCAGTGTTTAACATGCTGCATAATTGGTTCTTGTGTTTGTATCTCTGCAGTGTGGACTGATGGAGTGTCTTACCAATATGCTGTTGAAGTGGTTGACCTGGCACTCCATCTATGCTCTGGAAGACGACCTGGACATCAGCCTCAACAGCCACACGTCCATGTGAGTTTCACATCTGTTCAGATATATTTAGGCTACGTTCACACTGCAGGTCTTAATGCTCAATTCCGATTTTTTGATCAAATC